AGCCTTTAAAAAATAAAGTCAAAACATCAAATTATCTGTTTTAGGAGTGTGTATTCTCTTAGTCTGTCTTTTATTTTTCATTCTAGAATTGGGCCACACCTTATTCTATAAAATAGAACATAGCAAACTTTAAGGACAAAGAGACTTAGAATTTGGTTGTGGGAATTTTGTCAAAAATATCAAGGTTCAGAATTTACCAAAGTAGGATCACAGGTCAATGTGAAATAATAGTCACTTATCTCAGCTAGAGTGATAATTAAATGGCTTCAGAAGGCAAATGCAGAAAGTTATATAGTTGTAGAAAAACCTTAGTTCTTTATTAGAGAGTTTTCATAAGTAATCAAATAGAATAAGGACAACATGAAGCACAGAGAATCATCTTGATAAAATGCAGAATCTTTGTTTTTTTAGACCAATTACCTAAAAAGTGAAGGAAAACTTTTCATTATTTCTAAAACTAAATACTACATTTTTATTATCTAATGTCTGGCTGGTTGCTTATACAGTTCCTGTACGTGTAATGGGAAACTCATTTATTTTGAGTTTCTGTTTGAAGCTTTGCCAATTAGGCAAGAAAATGATCATTTTCCCAGTAGGTTTTGCTTTAGTATGTCAAGAGGGTCATATAACCAGTGTCTGAGGGAAAAAAATTGAAGCTGAAAAATATGTTTTTGGTTATTTCTTTCAACAAGTAAGCATTTTAAAATTTGGATTGCCCACAATCACATGACTAAAATTAATTAAATTAATTAGAGTCACCAATTATAAAGCAAGGACAATTGAATATAATCTTAATTTTAAAATAGCTGTCATATGTTGTTTTTTCCTTTTTTTTTGAGACAGAGTCTCTTGCTCTGTGGCCCAGGCTGGAGTGCAGTGGCGTGATCTTGGCTCACTGCAACCTCTGCCTTCTGAGTTCAGGCGTTTCTCATGCCTCAGCCTCCTGAGTAGCTGGAATTACAGGTGTATGCCACCACACCTGGCTAATTTTTGTATTTTTAATAAAGATGGGGTTTCGCCATGTTGGTCAGGCTGGTCTCAAACTCCTGGCCTCAAGTGATCTGTCTGCCTTGGCTTTTTAAAGTGTGGAATTACAGGTGTGAGCCACCACGCCCAGACCTTCTTTCTTTTCTTAATGCGACATACATGAATTTCCTGTATCACTTTTACCAGTTATTAATAAGAGTTCAAATTTGGTCACAATACTGGTACCTCGTAACTTAGAAGACTTAATTTTCCAAAATTAATTATTTGATATTCTAATTTTTAGGGATTTGGTAACAGATAAGTTTAATGGTGTAAATTTAAAATTTTTATTTTTATAGCCACAATGTGTTATGATAGTGTTAATTTGGTATGATTGTTGTAATTAACACCTATCTGACTTCAGGTGTTAATGGCTAAAAGACTTTCCTTTTCTCATTTGTATGTTTCCTAGTATTTCTCTGAAATCTATTAATTTAGTATTTGTGGTCTTTCTTGCACTATTGACCTGTTGTATTCTAATAAACTTTTATCTACTTTTATAAATAGTACAACTAATACCAAAAGGTGATGAAATTGATAGGTAACAGCTTTGGATTTTCATTATTATTGTTGTGGTTTTGAGATAGAGTTTCACTCTGTTGCCCAGGCTGGAGTACAGTGGTGCAGTCATTGCTCACTGCAGCCTCAAACTTATGAGGTCAAGTGATCCTCCTGCCTTGGCCTCCTAAAGTGCCCCAGGTTTTAAGTTTTCTCTTCCTTATTATTTTTTCAGCTAATTCAACTTTTAAGTTCAGTATCAGTGTTCTGAAACATTTTTGGTAAGTATTCTTTGTGAGGGTGACCCTTACCTCCTTTCACCACTCCCAGGGATAATGGAAAGGTGTCTCCTCCACTACTGTACAGATCCTGCAACAAAAGCAGTTTTTGTCCTTTGGAGCTAAAAAGTTAGCAGGTATGTTGATATGAAGCCAGTCTTTCAAGAGTAATTGAGTAATCCATCTCGAATGAGGAAATATAAGAAAAAGCTTCCTCCAAATGGAATGGGGAGGGGAGAGGGAAGTTGAGAAGTTTTAGGACTGAGCAAATATGAATGCCTTTTATATATGGCCATAGAAGTAAATTGTGGCTTAGCTCACCTGATTTTATCTGTTTTTCTAATTGATACTAATCATTGTTATTATATTAGTTTCACAGAATTCACTGTGTTCATTCTAACCCCCATGTCGTGTGGGCACATCTGACAAAACTGAATGTCTTCATGTTGTTTTCAGCTAATGGTCAAAAGCCATTCAGTAAAACTCACTATTTGGCCTGTTATAATTCATCTGATAAATTGGTTGGATATTTTGTTTGCTAATTGAGCATAAAATGCTGAAGATATTTGCCCATTTTTATTTGTTTAAAAGAAATTTTTTTTTCTTGTTGAATTTTCTCTTACTGTTCTTTTATATGTGAGCACTGTTTTTTTGCACAGTTTTGAACTTCAAGGAGCAGAGTGGTAGAAAATGTACAAACCCCCAAAATAAGGTCTAGACTAATTGGATCTTAATTTTTAAATCTCTCCTCTCAGTATCTGATGTTGTTCACTTTTTATATAATATACGGTCTCTCTATGTCACAATTAACTCTTGAGATTTATGTTAAACAAGAGAGACTTTTTTTTAAATCTCGGGTACTTGAAGAGTTTTCTCAATTTGATATTAGGTCTATGGAGATAATTTGTTGAAGTGTTAAGAGAAATACATACTAATTTATATTTTAACGAGAGGTTATCCGTGCTCAAGGATTTACTGTGTACTTAGTGACATGTAATAATCAAGGTCATATAGAACCCTGAAGTTGAAGTTGCTTGTGTTTTTGTAGTGTGCACGTGTATTTGAGACCTTCTTTAATAACTTTCCCAGAAGCTCAGGGCATGCTGACAAAACTCTTTGCTTCTCCAGTTTATTTTGTGTTTATTTTATTCTTCAAATAAATGGTGGTTTTCTGGGAAAAGGGTCTATATTGTAGCACTCTGCCGTTTTATAAGGCTTTTGGGATTTGCTCTTGCCCCTTCTAATACAAGGCGATGTGAATAATTGGAAGAGGTTTAGAGCAATTTTCTAAAGTGTGTTTTGGTAGAATACTAATTCTGTAGATTGTTAATAGATATCATATGGGATCAAAGGGGTTGTATTGTTAAATAAGTTTGGGAAGTACAGGATTAAATAATATTGAATATGTTTCTTTTGTGGAGGGCTTTTGAGAATTTTTCTTATTGAAGTGTGCTTTGTGAATTCCTAAAAGAGGAATGGATCTACAAAGATTTGAAAAGTCCAGAAACATAGGATAGAACTTATATTTAAGTATATATACAATTGTTCTTGTGTTTACAGAGTTTAGGGCATTTTATACTTTTGTTTGCTTTTTTCAGATTAATGATTGGACCCATTGCTTTAATTTTAAAGGTACTACTTCTGAAAGGTATCTGGAGGTTGAATAAAAACATAGAGCATATAATTGGAAATGTAACTAACATACTGTTTAAAAACACACTCATCCTATCTTTCTTTCTCAGACTCACTGTATACTGTGTAAGATTTCTCAATTTTTTTCACTGGAGAGTATTTTTCATATGGATCATTTTCAGGAACTAAAGTTCCGTGTAACCTACTTTGGAAAACATAGGTCTGGCTTTAAAATATTCTTCAATTTGACTGTATCATGAAGTGTTCAGTTTTCATAGTAGAGAAGAGATATTGCAGCAATTTGCAATGTCATATTCACTGTTAGATTTTAGTTTGATATTTTTATCCCAGTTCTGCCAATTACTAGCTTTGTGACTCAGCTTCAGTTTTTGCATCTGCGATGGAGTTAATAATAGAACTTAATTAATTTTAAGATGTAGTACCATAAATTAAATTTTTGTTCATTAAAAGGTTTTTAAATTTTTTAAAATACCATTATAAATGTAAGGCCAGTCACGGTATCATACCTTTTGGGAGACCAAAGCAGGAGGATTGCTTGAGGCCAGGCGTTCGAGACCAGCCTGGGCAACATAGTGAGAGTCTGTCTCTACAAAAAAATTTTAAAATTAGCCAGGCATAGTGGCATGTACCTGTAGTCCCACCTAGTCAGGAGGTTGAAGTGGGCGGATCACTGGAGCCCAAGAGTTCAGTTACAGTGAGCCTTGATTGTGCCACTGCATACCAGCCTGGGCCACAGAGCAAGACCCTGTCTCTAGAAAAATAAATAAATTTAACAGTGGGAGGGAAATTGGCTAAGGTTATTGCTGAACAAAATGATATCTTAGAGATTCCTAGAATGAATCATTTAGTTTTAAGGACTGATCACATTGTTTATTGATTTTGTTAAGCAAAGCATTTTGTAGTAAAGATACTTAATTGTACAAAATGTCACAATTTGAGTTTTCTATTTGTCAATGATAATTTTTAAAATGACATATTTATTTAAGATGAATGTTTTAAATTATAATACCTGTTCACAGTTGAAAATTAAAAACCATGAAGGACGGTGTAAAAAGCAAAAGCCCCACCACATTCTCTAATCTCAATCCACTAGATGTGTAAAAACCATCCACTATCTCATCTGCCATACTTATTCTGCAGCTGTAAATACTATTAACAATTTGTGGCTGGGCGCGGTGGCTCGTGCCTGTAATCCCAGCACTTTGGGAGGCTGAGGTAGGCAGATCAAGAGGTCAGGAGATCAAGACCATCCTCGCTAACACGGTGAAACCCGTCTCTATTAAAAAATACAAAAAATTAACTGAGCGTGGTGGCGGGCGCCTGTAGTCCCAACTACTCAGGAGGCTGAGGCAGGAGAATGGCGTGAACCCGGGAGGCGGAACTTGCAGTGAGCCGAGATCGGGCCACTGCACTCCAGCCTGGGCAACAGAGCAGGACTCCGTCTCAAAAAAACAAACAAACAACAGCAACAACAAAAAAGCAATTTGTAAGAAGTATGTCAAAGTCTAACTTGTTCTTTTTTTGTTTTTATTTTTTATGGTGGAGCTGTGAGTTCTTTGGAATTGTGAACATTCTTTTGAAATATGGAGCCCGGATAAATGAACTTCATTTGGCATACTGCCTGAAGTACGAGAAGTTTTCGATATTTCGCTACTTTTTGAGGAAAGGTTGCTCATTGGGACCATGGAACCATATATATGAATTTGTAAATCATGCAATTAAAGCACAAGCAAAATATAAGGAATGGTTACCACATCTTCTGGTTGCTGGATTTGACCCACAGATTCTACTGTGTAATTCTTGGTAAGAAATTCTACCATAGTGGGGCTTACCCTTTTTGAGTGAATATACTACCTTTAATTTCCTTCAGTTTCTTGAGATCGCAGTGTTTGGAGAAGGGTGTGTCTGTGTTTTGACTGCGATGGCTGAATTGGGGTGAAGGAGTTGGTGGCTGCTAATAGTGAGATTGAGTTTAAGCTCAGAGTCCTGGGAAAAGATAAGAGGTGACTGGAAGGAGGTATGAGGGGATAGATGCCAGTGAACTCTTCTAAGAAAGATATTTCTTCGACTTCTGGCCATTCCTCATGCTCCTCTTAAAATGCCTGTGACAGAAGAAAGAATGCTTGGAGCTGCTTTGAAGATTTCTGTTGTCTATCCCTCAGCCAACCAGACTGAATACTCCTGCCCTACAGCATCCTGTCTATTTGAAATATGTCACCCTTAATAAATACTGATTTCTGAAGTATCTGAGAATATGACTTGTTTACTTCAGGTAGTTTCTCAGAAGGGCAGTCCTCAGTGACAGATTATACAAATGCCGAGTCAGTATTTTTTGGGGGGCAAGAAGAAGACTATTAGCCTCCAGCCTTTGCAAAAATTGTTGGAGTCCTAAGACAGGTAATTGTAGTAGCGAGAGGACTCTCTTGGGCTGATAATTCAAGTCGAATGAGAAAATAAAATGGAAAATAGAGGACATGTTATTTTATAGAATTTCAGTAAAATATCTAGAAGTCTTCACTTTTGTGTTTCAATTCTCACCCCATGTGGTGTCTGTCCCTAAGGCACTCATTTTCTTCTTAGCCACACTCCTTGTGTTCTTCTATGCAAGCTCTTAACTCTGACTCAATATGACTTGCCCAGTACTTTCAGCCTTCATGCTCCTTTCTGGTTTCTAATTTATTTCTTTCTTTTAACCAAAACATAGAAGCTGTCTGATACCTACTGTTGTGGTTTGAATGTGTTCTCAAATTTCAGGTGTTGGAAACAATCCTCAAATTCATTTGTTGATGATATTTGGAGGTGAGATCTTTGGGAGGTAATTAGGATTAGATAAGATCATCAAGATGGTGCCCCAGTGATGGGACTGGTGGGTGGCTTTATAAGAAGAAGAGAGACCTGAACTGGCATGCTTTTGCTCTCTCACCGAGTGATGACCTCTGCCATGTTATGACACAGCAAGAAGGCCCTCATCAGGTGTGCCCCTTGACCTTGGACTTCCCAGTCTCTAGAACTGTAAGAAATAAATGTATTTTCTTTATAAATTACCCAGTCTCAGGTATTGAGTAATAGCAACAGAGAATGGACTAAGACAGAAATGTGGTACTGAGAAGTGGGGCTGTTGCTAATAACGATTACCTAAGAATGTGGAAGTGGCTTTCGAACTAGATAATGGGTAGAGGCTGATAAAGTTTGGAAGAACAGTCTAGAAAAAGCCTGTATTTCCATAAATGGAGTGTTAAGGGTGACTCTGGTGAGTGCTCAAAGATGAGAAGACTAGGAGAGTCTGACCTTTCTTAGAGATTATTTAAGTAGTTGTGACCAAAATGTTCATAGAAATATGGATGGCAAAGGCCATTTTGACAAGGTCTCAGATGAAAATGAGCAATACCCTGTTGGAAACTGGAGTAAACGCCATCCTTGTTATGAATTAGTGAAGAACTGGGATGAACTCTATCTATGCCTAAGGACTTTATGGAAGGCTGAATTTAAGAGTGACGAACTAGGATATCTGGTAGGAGAAATAACTAAGTAGCAAAGCATTCAGGCTGCTGCATGGCTACTTTTAGCCACTTATAGTGAGATGTGAGGGCAAAGGAATGACTTGGGACAGAGCCTATAATTAAAAGGGAAGAAGAGTAGAAAAATTTAGAAAATTCTCAGCCTGGCTGTGTGGAAAAGAATGAAAGAGAATGTTCAGGAGAGGAACCCAAGGTTGTGACTAGCAACCCTTTGCTGAGCAGATTTGTACAAATAGAAAGTACCATCAAGACAGAAAAAAACCTTGAAGGCATTCCAGAGATCTTTGAGGCTGCGCCTCCCATCATAGGCCCAGGGCTCTAGGAGGTCAGAATGGTTTTCAGGAGGGTTTGTGGGGTGGTACTAATTCTGCAGGCATGTAGAATGCAAGAGCTGTGGGGGCATGGATTCTTCCACCTAGATTCCAGAGGTTGTTGAAAACAGTCTAGGGGCTCAGGCAGAGACCTGTCCCAGGGGAGGAGCCACTGCAGAGAGCCTTTCTAGAGCAATGCCCAGTGGAAATGTAGGGTTAGAGCTGCCACAGTTTCTACCATGGCAATGCCTAGAGGACCCATGGGAGCAGGGCTGCCATGGAGACCTCAGGACTGTAGAGCTACCAGCATGCAGTGCCATCTTGGGAGAGCTAAAGTCTGGGCAAAGCCATAGGGGTGGGACTGAGCCCAGCAAAGTCATAGGGGTGGAGCTTGCTGAGGTAGTGGAGGCTCAACTCCCATCCCAGTTTATCCAGGAAGCTTGACATGGAGTCATGGAAGATTATCTTGGAGTTTCAAGGTAATCCTCTTGAATTTTGGACTTATTTGGGTCCTATTATTCTTTGCTTCTTGGATATGTCTCCCTTTTGGAATGGGAATGTTTGTCTTACGCCTGTCCCACCATCGAATTTTGGAAGTATATAACTTGTTTGATTTCACAGGCTCACAGCTGGCAGAAATTTAAGGTGAATTATGCCTTGAGTCTCACCCCCATGAGATACCAAAATCCATGTGTTACTGGAAAGGGGTCCCGATCTAGACCCCAAGAGAGGGTTCTCGGATCTCGTACGAGAAAGAATTTGGGGCAAGTCCATAGAGTAAAATGAAAGCACGTTTATTAACAAAGTAAGGGAACAAAAGAATGGCTATTCCATAGGCAGAGCAGCAGCATGGGCTGCTGAGCTGCTTATACTTACTGTTACTTCTTGGTTACATGCTAAACAAGGGGTGAATGATTCATGAATGAGTTTTCCAAGAAAGGGGTGGGCAAGTCCCAGGACTGTGGGTTCTCCCCATTTTTAGACTATCTAGGGTAACTTCCTGAAGTTTCCGTGGCATTGGTAAACTGTCATGGGGCCGGTGGGAGTGTCTCCTAGCATGCTAATGCATTATAATTAGCATATAATGAACAATGAGGATGACCAGAGATAACTTTCATCACCATCTTTGTTTTGATGGGGTTTGGCCAGCTTCTTGACAAGTGCTGTTTCATCAGCAAGGTCTTTGTGACCTGTATCTTGTGCGGGCCTCCTGTCTCATCCTGTGACTAAGAATGCCTTAATTTCCTGGGCATGTAGCCCAGTAGGTCTCAGCCTTATTTTACCTAGCCCCTATTCAAGATGGAGTTGCTCTGGTTCATACACCTCTGACACATGGATGCTCAAGTCCCTTATGTAAAATGGCATAGTATTTGTGTCTAGTCTAGGCACTTCCTCCCATCTACTTTGTCATCTCTAGATTACTTATAATAGCTAATGCCATATAAATGCTATGTAAATAGTTGTTGTACTGTATTTTTAAATTTTTGTTATTTTTTATTGTTGTATTGTTATTTTTTATTATTGTTGTTAGTATTCTCAATCTACCATTGGTTGACTCTTCGGATGTGGAGGATGAGTTCTGTTACTCAATTTTAGTAATCCTTAATCCCTTGCCTAACCTGAGGGATCTGTACCAATTTTTCATGCTTCTTTCTGCTCCTAAATTAGGAAAAACCTAAGCAGGGGAAAAAAATCAAACATTGCCTGTTATCCTTTCCTCCCCAGCCAACTAAATGAACTACTTGTAGGGAGAAGGATTTATTTAGCTTTATTCTCTTAGAAGGCTTTGTAAATGTATCCTCCCTTTCCCCAGTTCTGATACAGCTCCCCCATTTTCCCCCACTTGTGAACAGTTGAGAATTTTTGTGACAGTAAGCCGTTGGGTATGTGCTGTATTTATCGGATATGTGAAATAGAAGAGTTAAGAACTAGTAAACTAGAAACTATTTTGAAGTAAGTTGTAAAACTTTCAGTATTCTGAATGGAGAATGCCAATTACATGTTTTTTACTCCTGAAGAGTAAGTAACTTTGGTTACTTTATATTAATTAGAAAAAATACAGTGGAAAATTTCACTTTAGCAATGAAAATGCTTAACATGTTCAAATTTTTGTTCACTGATATTTTATTGAATGGGTAAACCAGTGTTTACACTGCATATGATAAATGTTTTGCTTTCTTTGATCAAATTTACATTCAAAGAACTATTACAAGAAACATTCTATAAAAATTCCAATATATTGTTAAAGGGGATTTTGATTGTTATTTAAATCACATGCAGATCTGTTGCTTATCTTTGTCACGTAAATTATAAACGTATTTTCTGGGTATTGCTTGTCTTAAGCATCTGGCTGAATAATTGCCTGTCACAATATTTAAATGCAAGACTAAGTCTTCCTTTACCTGCGCACCCCACCCCCATGTAATGGGAGAATAGAACATAAATGTCATTTGTGTATTTAGTTGATTAAATGTCACTCGTTTGTGATTGTACAACTGCTCTATACAATGTAATGGTCACTGTAGTACAGTAACAATACATTTTTGTGGCATTATCAGTGTTGGTAAAATAAACTCACCATCATATTAACTAAAGCTGTGCAAACAGATTTACTTGTCTTGTATATGTTCAGATAACTGCATAAAAATGACTTTGTGTTTGGTCACAGTAAGACCTAAAGCGCATTAAGGCAGAAAAATGAAATCATTAAAAAAAGAAATAAAGAACCAGAACAAAGTAACCTTTGGTTTGGGACCCTTAAGAAGTCAAGGAAATTGTTAGTCTTTGAATATATTTTATCATTTCATTTATCCTCAGTATTTCCTGATAAGTTGTGATTTCACTGATGTCTCCTGAGAAATAAAATGTTTTCCCAAGACATCTGTGCTACACTTTAAGTTCTTCCTTAGATGTTTGCATATGGGAGAATTAAGAATTTGGGAAATAATTTTCATAATCTTTAGTCCATCATTTCAAAGATATTTTGACTCCAAATTACCAGAAGTGTCTTTGAGATGATAAGCTTAGATTATTATTCAGCTTTTCTTTCCTTGTATTTCCTTTCCTTCTTTAGTTGTTGCTCAGTACTATTTCCAAAGAGGTGACCGTGAGAAGAATTTCTGTTTTGGTAGTAATTACCAGAAGCCCTAGTGACTTTTTTTTCTCCAGCCATTGTGATGGTAGGGGAGTGTCTAATTGAATACAGGATAAGTAATCTTGTTAGGATTTAGAGTTCTTTTAAGGGTTTGACTGAATTTTAAAGCTTCTAAAAATATAATACTGAAGTTTTCAAATCATTTCTGGTAATACCAGTTTTTCATATAATACTTTATAGTTTTAAAAGTATGTTTACTTTGTTATCTCATATTATTTTCACATATAGTTCCCTGTAATGGGCAGATTATGTATTATTCTCATTTTAAAGAGCAGGAGCTAGAGCTTAAAGAATTCAGGCAACCTGTTTATAAGTAGCAGAAGCAGTATTAAACAGCAAGACTTTTCTTAAGCCAGTGCTCTTTCCATTAGGCTTCAAGTACTTACAAATTTTGGGTTAGCCTCTTTTGAGTGGGTTGGTAGGGAATCTGACATTATTTTGAGAGAACAGAGGAAAGCCTATTTGGAACCCCTTCTTTCAGTCCTTAAAGACAAGTCTTATTCTGTTACATCGCTTAGGGCTGAATTTATAATGGGGGGAAGGTTCTTAGAGGAGAAGAGCTGTGCATGCCTGGGAGTTGGGCAGAAAGAAGCCATACTTGTACACTTGTACACTCAGGGATAACTTGGGGTGTTTGGGCTTTATCCTTTTAGGATTATTAAATTATATGTCTCTAAGGAAGGTCAATTTACATTTGGCAAGATAGTCCAAATGGGAGGAAATAATGGCAGATCCACTGATGTCGTTGGTTCTATCACCCATGAGAAGGAAAGTTCCTACTCTCTCTGAGGTTCCTTTTGTCATCTCGTAGACAGCTACATAGAAAGTCAGTTCAGTTAATAGGAACCTGTAGTTGATTCTTCATATCCACTGATTTTGCCTGTAGTTACATAAATACTGAACATGCCCTGATTTTCTGTCTGCCCTCCTCATTGAGATTTTGTAAGAATATGTATATGGTGTTTGTTTCTAGTACGAACCCGTGGCATGTTTTGTTTCTAATATATTAACATCTTGCTAACATAGGATCGACTCAGTCAGCATTGACACCCTTACCTTCACTTTGGAATTTACTAATTGGAAGACACTTCCGCCAGCTGTTGAAAGGATGCTCTCTGCTCGTGCCTCAAACGCTTGGATTCTACAGCAACATATTGGTAAGAAAGAATAACTTTTAAACACACTTCACTTCTTTTCCTTCTCTTGCTTCTCTAGCTGTGTTGTAATTATAAGTGAAAAGATTCATTGGCAAACACAAATTAGACATAGTTTTGCATTTTTTCTCATGTGAGGAAAAGATGGCATTGTTAGGGAGATGGCTACTAATTCCCTTCAGTAAAAATCATACCTGATTTTATAAGCTTAACCTAAGAAACATACAAAGAAAAGCAGATGCTTACTGATATTTTAATTTTATGATATCCTTTTATTTTTAATAAGGATTATATACACAAAAGTAAGTCCAAAAAATCTGCTTATTCTGTATTTAGTTTCTGGTCAGAAAAATGCTAAACTTAATTTTTCTCTTTGGAATGTCTGTGGAGTTATGTTCTCTGTGTAATATTTTATCGCATCTAAAAGGAAATGTAACCATTCTTTACACCTGTCCTTACTGAATGTATACCAGTCTGTTGGTATGGTATAACTATAGAGATAAGCTGAGTGAACATTCTGTGAATTGGTTGATATTTTAAAAGACTATTCTAGAACAAAATTTCAACTTACCTCACTTAAAAAAAATTTTAAACTAGTTGAAAAAATGAAAGAACACACAGTGGGGGAAGATTTCACACAAGGAACAAGTTTAAACATAACATATGCAAAGTATCCCTATTTACTTTTTCAGATTTATTTTGCTTTGACTGTATTTAGTTAACCATGTTATATGTCTTAAGTTAGGAAAATTGTTTCTTCACTGCTATTTTTACATGAAATGTAACTCTTCATAAAATGTTTTGAATAGGTTTTTAACAAGTGAACTTATTCATATGGAGGAATGTGTCTTCTAATTTTTTGGAAAATTACATTTAAGTAAATTTTCTCAATCAAAAACAGACATTCAGGAAGATATGCCTTTGAATTGAGGTGTATTCAAACTGTTAGAGAGGTTTCTGTTAAAGAAAAATAATTCATTTGGAGTCTTTGAGCCTTCTAGTATAGAATTTCTTTAATGATAATGCTGGAAAATTCACTCCGTGTAACTCTCAATGTTGAGAATTGCGTCTGCTTTTACTAATTATGTATCTACAGCAGTAGAGAACAAATATCTATTCAGAACAGATAGACTATGGAACAATGGATTTGAGAACAAAGAATCAAAAGAGGGAGCATATGCCAAATGGGAAAAGTATTGCTACGTATCAATTAGTAAGGATATGTGGGAGTTTACCCTGAAGACCTTAACATATGGCATGTTTGTCCAGATGAAGGTAAAAATTGTGCATGAGTACTACATTACCCTGCAGTAGACTAAATCCATCAAGGGCTTCTTGTTTAATTAAGTACTAGGTAGAGCTTGTGTAGGGTAATAATCATCATCTATTGAGAGATTTTTATTTCAGCTGAAGATTCAAAAAAGCCTTTCTCAGAGGCTTTTTCTGAGCTAATGTAGCTAATGGTTTTCTGGTTTGTTTCTTTAGCCAAGCCCTCTTTTCTTGTTTCCAGTCTCATATATCCAACTATCTTTTGGACATTTCCATTTGCTGTCTCACATCTTGACATATCCAAAATTGAACTTATTATTTTTACTACAAATTCTTCTGTTCTGTCTCTTTTTCCTGGTTCAGGAGGTGAGGTGGTTTGGGAGTGTTATTTACCAAGAGAGTGAGTTAACACTGGAAGCTGTTTGTTATTTTTTCCGTAGCATAGGGGTGATTTTTGCCCCCCTATAGACATTTGGTAATGTCTGCAGACATTTTTTTGGTTGTCACAATGGTTAGGGATGCTGTTGCCATCTAAGGGGTAGAGGCCAGGGATCCTGCTAAGCATCCTACAGTGCACAAGGCAGCCTCCTACAATAAAGAATTATCTGGCTACAAATGTCAGTAGCGCCGAGGTTGAGAAATCCGGATCCACAGTGATTCTTGTGTTGTCCTATCATGGAAAGGCTTTTTATCCCTCTCCTTGTTGCAACCTACTTGGGGAAAGCTTGTATTCTTCCTCCTACTTATATTGGTCTCTCAGGGTATTCTTTGGTGCTTCCTCTTCTGCAGATAGTAGGCACCATTACAATGCTGGAATTTTAGTAAGACAGAGAAAAACTTAGTTGCCTGGCTTTCAGATGGCATTGTGACTCTTCCTTTCTATAATTCAGGGCTCTCTTGGGGGCACCCTTTTCTCATCAATTTTCAGGATAATAAATTTCTGCATGTTGGTCATCAGGACTCCCTCCTTTACTGGGATTTTGAGCTACAGGATCTCTAGTAAGCAGAAGCATGATCAGGGTTTTAACACTAATGGGCACGAGCCTAGCAGGACAACTGTTTGATTAACCTCTTTACAAGACTAACCTTGCTTTTACCCCTCTTCCTCCAATAACTTATCATGATATTAATAACTGCTGCCTTATCAATATGTTAAAAAATTTTTTTTTGAAAAGATACCTCTTGCACCTCTGCCACTGTTAGTAAACTCTTAGATAGTTCCTAGCTTCCTAGCTCCACTCAGTATTCAATTTCTATCCCTTGGGAAAGATTTTTCTTCCATTTTTTATTTAAGCCCTTTTCAAGTCCCATAGATGCCATGTACTTGGTCAAAATTATTCTTTCCTCCCCTTTTTTCTCCCTAAGTAAGTAGCAACTTGCCATGGTAGTTTATAAACAAAAGTAACAACACATTTCTTGCTTCTCATATTTTAATCATTGAGTCAGATTTGTCTTCAAAAAGTTTCTTGCATCCAAAAGGAAATGTATACCAGGTAAAATTTACTGAGTGGTTGCAGTTTCAGTAACCGTCTTTTAAACAAGTGCCTCTTACATACCTCTTAGAAACATCAGGCTAACCACGTTGCAATAGATGTCTTACTCAAAAAATTTGCCAACTCCTGGTCAGGTCTAAGTAATTAAATTATTATGGATAAAAGCACATGGCTTTAGTTCGTCCTGAACCTTTAATGATTAGATATATATAATTCTTTCCAGAGTGTTAAATGGATCTGGATCCTACAAAGGGTCCTTTAAAGGACCCCAGGAAACTCTCTTGATCTTTTTATTTCAGTGTTTCCTTGCTTTGTTCTGAAAAGGATTTAAAGCAGTTTATATAATACATATATATTATCACAAAACAGTACAACAAAAGTAGAAGGAAAAGAAAAATGAAAAAAAAAAAAGGTGGGGGATAGATTAAAAAAATGGAGTCAGGGAAAGCGTAGCAATGGGAATTTGATACTTGTCTATGGATAGGCTGTATGTTTGACTCTGAGCTCTGTTGTCATTGACACTAGGTGACAGGGTTCATAAGATCAAATAAACCTGTTCCTCAGAATAGATTTTCTTGGATGCTGTTACAGCTTCCTAGACAATGTCTTGGTAGCTGTGGTTTCTTGGGACTTCTTTTACGTGGACTGTTGTTTTCATACCAAAGTGCAATTCAGTAAAAGCAGTTCTTAAGTAGTCATTACAGTGTGGTTCAGGTACCCCGACTTCCGTTGCTGTGACTTGACGAAGAACTAGATTTTAGAATATCTGGGAATGGATGGCCTGTGTGCCTTTTGAGCAGTTCTCTCTAAATATTGTATGTCTCAACTCAGTTTTTAATTTAATTAATTAATTAATTAATTTGTGGGGGCAAGGTCTTGCTCTGTTGCCTAGGCTAGAGTGCAGTGGCACGATCATGGCTCACTGCAGCCTCTACCTCCTGGGCTCAGGCAGTCTTCCCACCTCAGCCTCTTGAGTAGCTGGGATCACAGGCATGTGCCACCACGCCCAGCTAATTTTTGTATTTTTTATTGAGGCAGGGTTTCGCCATGTTTCCTGGGCTGCTCTTGAACTTCTCCTGGGCTCAAATGATCCTTCCGCCTCAGCCTCCCAAAGTGCCGGTATTATAGGCACGAGGCACTGTGCCTAGCTTCAGCTTAGTTTTTAATAGTAGTACGTAGCAATGAGTTCAAAGTTATACTACCTAAGAAGTATGAGAATGCAGATATTTTGTATTGCAAATTGGATTGAGAACATATTTTTAAGTAACAGTTGATCTTAAAAGTAGAAGCAAAAGAAAAATGAATAATGAAGGTTGATCTGTGGTAGGGTGAGTACTCCAGGAACATTATAAGGATTCCTAACTAAATATGGTGGGTTAAGCAAGTATCCAGTTTAAGCAAAAATTTCCCTTGAAACTTTGAGCAATGCCTCTAGTTTTGAGCAATGTTCTTTTCTCACATAGCCTTCAAGATAAATAATCTGTGGTAAGTACACCAAGGTAACTACATATGATAATTTATTTTATGTGATTGTTAGATGCAGAAACAAAGCTTAGGGTTAGGAATAGTTGGTCTGTAATCCTTTCTGGTAACAATGAGCCAGCATTCCAGTTGTCTGCTAAAACCATTTCTAGTTTAGGATAATAAAACATTAGTTTTTAAAAGAATATTTGTTTTTCTGTTTTCTTTAGCAAGAACATGTATCTTGCTCAGTTTATAACACATCATTAAGTTACTTGTTAAAAAGATGAGAGTTGGAGCACAACCTTATTTTATGCCAAAGAAAAATTTTAACTTTTCTGCTGACTTCAACCCTATGGTAATGATCTGGTGCAGGTTCTGCATGGACAGCAGACAGAATATAATGGTTGAAGGTTGGAGCTCTAGAATTAAATAGACATGCCTCCACCACTTTCTCTCTTTTTTTTCCTTTGACTACCCAAATTTATTCATTTTAAACTTGACATGATTTATCTTTTTTAACTCTTAATATAGCACTAGAACCTCTTTAAAATTTCATGGAAAGGATTTATGACATATATTTAAAATTTATTGGCTAAAATTAAAAAAAAAATTTTTGATCAATTTATTTCAGGCCATTGTAATCTGGTTTATATGGTCCTGGAGGAATAATCATGTACCGCAAATCCTTTTTTTTTTTTTTTTTAATTACACTTTAAGTTCTGGGATACATGTGCAGAACATCATGGTTTGTTACATAGGTATACACGTGCCCTGGTG